AAAGCCCAGATATAGGTTCCTCATGGCGAGAAGGTCCCAAGGTGAAAACTGGAAAACGGAATTCTACCGAGCCGCTGCCTTTAACGCAAGTTATCAAGAGCATATGTACATTGTTTTCGCATACAGTTTTCTCGAACTTTAGTGCAAAGTCAAATATTGTTCAGATGCTTCTGAAGTGGTTAAATCTGAACCTGCAGCCGAGGATTCAGCATCATCTGCATCCACAGATGTCGCAACGGAAAATGCTGCCAATCACGAGTCTTCCCCAGCAGCTATAAATGGCGACGCAACTAACCCGGCAAAGAAAGTGGCGACAAAACGGCCTGGAGTTCGTGACGATGTGAGTCTAGTCTGAACGCCACAAATGTTAATTTTTTACTATGGTTGTTCATAATTTGAATTCCAGTGTGTTGCAAAAGCACCGGCAACAAAACGAACATGTCTGGAGAATGGATACGAGAAGAAGAACGGGAAGCTAGACAGCAGTCCGTTGAAAATAAAGGAGACTCGTGCGGAAAATGGATCCATGACAGCAGTGGCGTGATCAAAGTGGATCAACTGGCTGCAGTCTAACTTCCAGCGTCGACACTTGTCACCATTTTGCGCCCGCGATCACATCGAACACCGTGCTCGTGTGAGGTGTTTGTTTCTGTGTTGTATGTGCACGTACGGCGACTGATTCCTATAGAGAGCATCAGATGCGTAGCATAGGTATTGCTGAATACCGGTAGGGCCCGCCAATAGCCCCTTTTCTTGGGTTGGCTGGCCCCTTCAAGTAAGGTCCTCGTTTGTCCGGTTCTTCATCTTCAATTTCCTTGTTCATTTTTTTATAAAATTCCTGCTCTGCTTTGTCTTCTTCGTATTTTATCAGTCAATTCACTGCTCGGGATAACTCCATGTAAGTATTACTTTAGCAGTTATCATTGTTAACACTTCTTCTTTGTCTGGATATAAATGAGCTCGACCCCAATTGCGTGCGAGTTTCACCTTTCCTTCGCTACTGTTGACAGGTTGTGTAGAAACGCATGTGACGCCATTCATCGTCTATGTCCCCTTCATTAATTTCATTTTTTCTTTCCTCTAGAGAACTGGTTCTGATGTACTGTACCGAACCAGTTATAGCTTAGCTGTACAGCTACAGTTTCTACGCGATACAAATACACGGTAATAGCGCATCTGTTCCCATGGTTACTTCTCTTGGCGTTTTTCATGATACTTTGTCTCGGCTGATTTTGTGCACCTGGGATTATCGGGTCAAGAGTTCTATTTGTTTGTGAATGGTTTCAGTGTGTGGCGTGTTTCTTCTCCCTTCTTGTATGTGTGTAAGTCGTGTGTTCGTCGGGACACAACCGGGTTTTATTTGTACCCAGATGTCCCACGATAAACCTCAACCCAAAATGTCCTTCTTTTATTTCATCTTATATGTAAGTTAATTTCAACTTTTACATTTTCTAATACAATTTGCTCAGCCAGTGCTGCTTTTGAAGATTCAATTCCCCC